CATGTGGCGCTGGACACGTCCACGCTGCGCGAAGTGTCCGAGCCGCAGATCAGCTTCAACCCGGCCTACCAGCAGCTCGTCATCCACCAGGTCGGCGTCATCCGCGACGGCAAGCGGCTGGAGCGCCTGAAGGATTCGCGCATCGAGCTGATGCGCCGCGAGCAGCAGCTGGAGCGCCAGATGATCGACGGCGTGCGCACGGCGCTCGTCGTCATCAGCGACGTGCGCGTGGGCGACGTCGTCGACGTGGCCTACTCGCTGGAGGGCGAGAACCCCATCTTCGAAGGCCGCTTCGCCACGCTGCTGCCGGTGGCCGGCGACGTGCCCATCGACCGCCTGCACCTGCGTGTGGAAGGCCCGCCCGAGCGGCGCCTGCAGGCGAAGAGCCTGGCCATCGACCTGCAGCCCGAGCGCTTCGAGGAGAACGGCCGCCAGGTGCTGCGCGTCGTGCGCGAGCACGTGCCGGCCGTCGTCGAGGAAGCCGCCACGCCGCCGTGGTTCAAGGTCTACCCGGCGCTGCACATCAGCGAGTACGGCAACTGGGCCGACGTCAACCAGTGGGCCCAGCGCCTTTTCGCGCCCGAGCCGGCCAGCGCCGCGCTGGCCGAGCGCGTGGCCGCCATCAAGGCCGAGGGCGGCACCCCCGAGCAGCAGGTGGCCGCCGCGCTGCGCTTCGTGCAGGACGAGGTGCGCTATTTCTCGGCCAGCCTCGGGGAGAGCTCGCACCGGCCCAAGCCCGCGTCGCGCACGCTGGCCGAGCGCCTGGGCGACTGCAAGGACAAGACCATGCTGCTGAACGCGCTGCTGACCGGCCTCGGGCTGGACGCGCGGCCCACGCTGGTCTCGGTGCAGCGCAACCGCGGCATCGGCAACTTCCTGCCCTCGCACGACGTGTTCGACCACGTCATCAGCCGCGTGCAGATCGGCGACCAGGTCTATTTCCTCGACTCGACGATCAACGGCCAGGGCCTGTCGCTGGACAAGCGCGGCTACCTGCCCTACGGCGCCGGCCTCGTCGTTGCGGCCGGCACCGAGGCGCCCGTCAGCATCCAGCCGCCGTCCTTCGCGGTGGACAGCCTGACCTACCGGCAGGACTGGGACTTCTCCGACCTGAAGCGCCCGGCGCAGCTGCGCACGTCCTTCAAGGCCTCGGGCCTGGCCGCCGAGCGCTGGCGCGGTGCCGTGGCCCAGGCCGGCACGGACCGCATCGCCGAAGGCATCGGCGGCTA